ACCAACTCGTCGAGTCCCTCCAAAATCCTTGAATTAAATACTCAAAACAATATACCTGGTAAACTGGATGTTACATTAAGTCCCAAGTGTTAGCCTCCCTATCAGCCTCTATTGTCCAGAAACCCTAAAATCGAGTCTTAGCTTCCATTGTTGAGTGTTTGAGCCTTTGGAGAGCTTTTGGTGTTCATTTTTGTGCATTTTTGAAGGATTTGAAGAAACTAGAAGTTGCTTATCCAGAAGAGGAGGTCTTGGATCCATAATCACCACCTTGTTTTCCAAGATTTTGAGGTATCAAGTTTCCATCTTGATTGCTAGATGCTTAGATCTCTTTTTGGGTTAAATTGTTAAGTTTTTAACCATGGTTTGGATGGATGATGGGATTAGGACGTCCCAAAGGCTTATTCTTTCAAATCTAAGGTCTTCATGGGCTCCTTTGGCATAAAGGTGCCAACTTTATGGAGTTTAGGGGCCTCATGCATTCATTAAGTCCTTGTTGAGCTTTAGAGCTTCTTATGGTCATGCATGAACGTAAAGTTAGCAACTTTACGTGATATTTCTGCTTAAGGAGGTCAGATCTGCATTCTGGAACAAGTCTTAATATGTTAGGAGTTAAATCTTGAAGTTGGCTGAAATGGAAGAGTACGTTGGGCGTACAAGCCTATACGCGCAGTGTACAAGCCTTCGAGCCAGTACACTTAGCGTACCAGCTGAGTACGCCCAACGTACTCAGTCTGATGGCATTTCGATGTTGGGCCTTAGGTTTAAGCCTCGTTTCGGGCTTAGAATGTTAGGGTTTAGTTGGGCCATCTGATGTTGGGAGTTTTTGGGCCAGGAATATTATTGGGCCTTGGGCTAAGGACCATGTGAAGAGATTGGGCCCAATTGGAAATTAGGCCATATTTGGGCCTTGATAGATTGTTTGACTTTTGGGCCCATTGGATTGTGGTTATGGGCTTCATTCTTGGACCAAGCTAGCGTATGGGTAAAATGGTCTTTTACCCCAAGTAGGGATTTTTGGTTATGATGTAGATCTCAAATGTTAATTGGTTTGTATTTGGCAATTGATAGCTTGAGGAGCTGTAGGACCAACAGACAGGGATCATTTGTTTCATTCGGCGTTTCGAGGTGAGTTTTCCTCACTTGGTTTAGCGAGTCGAAGGCACCAATGCCGGCCCATGTTTATGCTATGTTAGTATGCTAGCTGTCTGCGTGACTCTTGCATGTGTTATGTGTTTATATGCTTATCGGGCTAGGGCCCGATGACCACTTGTATGCTATGTATCTTTGTGATTATTGCATGTGTATGATAATATTTGATATATGTTATATGTGTGTTGGGTGGGGCCCGATCTATTACCGAGCAGGGATCGATGCCAGGCAGGGCCTGATGCCGGGTGGGGCCCGATGCCGGACGGGGTCCGATTCCGGGCGGGGCCCATTATATATTAATTGTATGTATGGTATGTGGTATTTTGGGGAACTCACTAAGCTTTGTGCTTACGGTTTTTAGTTTGTGTTTCAGGTACGTCCGGTTCCAAAGAGAAGGGCTCGGGATGACTGCATCGCACACACCATATAGATTCTGTTTATGGGACATACTCTGATTTTTATGATGGTTGGCATAATTATTCTATTGGGTTGTATGAACAATGTTTTGGAATACTGTTTTTACTTAAATTAAAAATGAAATTTTTGTGTCATGTTTTTAAGGATGTTTCACACACACACACACACACACACACATATATATATATATATATATATATATATATATATATATATATAGAGAGAGAGAGAGAGAGAGAAGGAGGTAGGGCCTTCTTATTTTTTAATTGTTTAAATAAATACAAAATTATTAGATTTAGAAAAATAAAAGAAAAATAGAAAACAAATAACCCAAGGGTAATACAGTCATTTCAATTTACTAAGGGACCCCATCAATAACTAAACTAGCTCAAAATGACCACGAAGCCAAAAACGTCGAAGTTTGGACTAAACCTTAGAAAAAAAATGCATACCACAAGAACCATTTTTGCAGTTTTGTCTAGATTTTGTTAAAAATAAAAGGGGCAAAATGGTAGTCTTTTATTTTTCTTTATTGGTAAGGAATTGATTCCATAAAATAGTTGAAGAAATGTATTTTCCACAATTTCAGGGAAAGTTTTTCATTTAGGAATCATTTTCCTTCCTTTTAAGTCCAACCAAACGCATGAATTCGAAGGAATTGAAATCTTTTTGCTTCGAATTACATTCATTTTCTGTCAACCAAACGCGACCTAAACATTTTTCCTAACACCCCTTAAGAGGGTGTTTGTGATTTCATCTCAAAACAATTTATTGACTTTTTGAAAAGTCAATATGTCAAAAAAATGGCAAAAAGAAAACAACTTCTCCTTAACCCTTCAAAAATGAGTTTTTAAGAAGTTAGAATTTTTAACTTTTCAAAATTATGTATGACTTTTTGAGTTGTAAAAATCTGTATTATCTTAAAATACCCTTAAGTTAAGACAAACATTTTTTTTTAAAAAACAATTTATTAAGTTATTTTTCCCCACCATAAAACTAATCCAAACACTTTTTTTTTATAAACTTATTTTCCTACCGATCAATAAGTTATTTTATCTGAAAATAATTTTTAGACTAAATTATACGAATCGTCCCCCATGTAGGTGTCAAAATGCACGTTCAGTCCCTATTTTCAAAAATTAACTTAGACTGTCCCTAGTTTGATATAACGTTGCATGTTTCATCCCCGAAAAACGATTTTCTTGCGAACTTAGTCCGTGTCAAAATTGAAATGACCATAATACCCTTATGTTTTTTTTCAATTTTTTTAATGTTTTATTTTTATTTTTAATTAAAAAGAAAGACTAAATTATACAATTGAAATGACCATCTTCCCCCCCTTCACTTTGCCAACCCCATGTACCTCTTTAATCTAATACTGATCGAAAAGTACAACAAACACATAACACATAAACACAATAACACCACTGGAAATCGTCGGTCAACCGAAAACCACCAGCCATCACCACTCCATCTCTGCCTCTCATCCACCACAATTTGTCTCCCTCTTTTACCATCTAAACTTGTCAGATGATCTAGCCGCTCTTAAAAAGATATGTCTCTTCTTCACCTCTGACTACCTACTTTGTTTCTCCCTTCTCTCAGAACAACGTTTCTCTCTTTACATCTCAGATTATCTAGGATGATGTCGATTTCCAGCTATGGTTTTTGCTAAAGCAGAAGGTTTTCGGCAAAATATAGTCGATTTCCAGCAAGAACAAGTTACTGTCGATTTCCAACATGATCTAGTGTTTTTGTTGCGCAGATGATTTTCGCCTAGGCCGCTAGGGTTTCTCAGAGGACTGTAGATCTACAACGTTTTATTGCAGTTCAAAAAACGATGGTCCTTCCGTCTCTCCCCTCGGTATCGCACCAGCGCGCACACACACACAAGGTGTGTGCTTTGTGTTTCTCTGTTCTTTTCTCCCCATATTAGTAACACAACATATGAAGTGTGCAAGATGAATGGGTGGTTGCCGGAGGTTTGTTTCTTTATGTTTAGTGGATGTCAGCATCGATCTCAACATTGATTTTGATTTCGGGATTTATGTTTTGGATCTCCGTCACCTACGCTGACGAATCTACAAAACTGTCACGGAATCATCTGATTCAGTGGTTCATCTGTGCAGAGCTGTTGGAGTCGTGAGAGGTGGTCATAAAACACTCGGTGGTGCCATCTTCCATAAACTCAATTGGATCTCCCCTAAATCATCTGATTTAGTTGTTCATGATCTTTGCCACACTTATGATTTGTGTAGTGACTGTAATTCTCCTAGACCTGAGTGTTTCTTCCTTGCCCTCCGGAAATGGTACCCAACTCTCCACCATGAAATGGAACGGTCTTTAAATTCACCGGTGCTGGTGTTGGTCAATGACAAAGGGGAAGGGCCATATATTTATTTAAACATGTTTTTAACAGATTGACCATTAATAAATAATAAATAAATCAAAAAGAAATAAATAAAGGCAAAATGGTCTTTTTATATCCGGAGAGATGAAACGTGTAAGATTTAAACTAACAAAGGAGGTCCGAATTAATTTTTGAAAATAAGGATTGAATGTGCATTTTGACACCTGCACAAGAGACGATTTGTGTAATTTACTTTAATTTTTAAAAATCAAAATGAAAGACCTCTTAATTATTTAGGTTGCAGTTAGTTGCAGAAAAATTGACCGTTTTTCGGAAAAAATTTTTAAGAAAAATGATAATTTTGAAAACGTGTTTAGTTTGTCTATTTTTCTAAATTTTTCACGGAATATGAAAATTTTTCGTTTTCTAAAATTACAAAGAAGTTGGAAATTTTTGAAAAACCCATAATCATTGTTTTCTATATTTTTCTAATTTGAAATTTTTTCTAAAATATAAACACACACCCTCTCCCACCCCCATCCACCTATACCTACCCACACACATACCCACAAACACACATACACACCAATCCCCACCCCCACCCCCATAAACACATGCACACAAACATACACACACAAACACACACCCACACCCACCCCCACAAACACACACACCCACACCCACAAACACATACATACACACCTACACACCCAACACCACTACCACAATCACCGACCTACCATCATCGTCACCACCACCATTACCCCATCACCACCACTACCACTACCGCCACTAACACCACAACTGCCACAATTGCCGCCACCACCACTGCCTGTCATCACCACCATCGCCGTCACTACCGTTTTCTAAAAATAAAAACCGATAGAAAAATACACATCTTAATACATTTTCTAATTTTCTAAAACTGAAAATGAAAAATGAATAAATTTTCTACATTTTGCAATGAAAAATAAAAACGGAAAACAAAAACTAAGAAAAAAAAACAAAAAATAAAAACTATTTTTTCGTAACGCAACTTAAACTTTTCCCTATTTTTTTTCTAAGGATTATTACAACAAAGTGGACGGAAAGAGAAATATACAAAAGCTTCTGGAAGCGTCTTTATCTGCTACTATAATAAACCATCTTTCATCTCTAGGGTTTCGTTATCCTCTTCATCTCCATTTTGCTACCTACCAACTAAATTTCTCCGCTCCATTCGGTAATTGCTTAACTTTCTACTTTAGTTTTGATTTAATCGTCTACTAAGACAATGCACTTCGATTACCACGTTTAATCTTAATAACAACGACACTCCCGTTTGATTTCAAAAGATGAGAGTGAATTGAAACAAAGGGAGTAAATTTGGGTAGTGCTACTTTATCTTACGTTAGAGACTAATTTCCGTTTGTGGGTTTGAATTCAGGAAATGGCAGCTGCTCAGATGACCGCCGCCGCATCTTCAAGCGTTTTTCTGCCATCATTTGAAGGTCTTAAGCCGTCAACAATCAAGGTTTCGTCCGCGTCCTTTAGAATGGGTGGTGGTTTAACTCTCAGATCAACCCGTGGACTCGTTGTCAAAGCCGCCACTACTGTCGCTCCTAAGGTTAATCACTACCTTACCGTTGCTAAATTCTACGCATTAATGCCTATAAATTACCTAATTTTTGCTTCATTTTGCTTCAATTTCAAGGGAGTCCCATTGATATTCGAAGGTTAATTTCGTTTATTGGATTCTGTATGGGCCTTTTAATCAACGTTTTATCGTTCTGCTTTAGCAGCAACCATATTATTCCTCTTGTTTCAGTGATTAGTTAGCTCGTTAAGGTGATAAATAAGATTATTCAACCACAAATCTTTGATTGTCTCTCAATTGAGCATTCATGGTTTTCTTTTTGATTCAAGGTCTTGTCTCCATTTTCTACAAGCGAGTTCTTGATTTCTTTCTTGAATTTTCTCTCAAGTTTCAGCTGGCAGAGATATAAATCATCTCTTATTCTTACTTTCAAATCTTTCTCATTGTAGAAAGTTTGTAGGTTTCGTGATGATAGAAAGTTCATTTTCATGTATTCACCCGTTCTTTCATCCTGCTAACCTCCATTTTCATCTTGTAGTACACTACATTGAAGCCATTGGGTGATAGAGTATTGATTAAAATCAAGGCTGCAGAAGAGAAGTCTGCAGGTGGTATTTTACTCCCTTCAACAGCTCAAACAAAACCACAAGGAGGCGAAGTAGTTGCTGTTGGAGAAGGCAGGACAGTTGGCCAAAACAAGGTGGACATAAGTGTAAAGGTAATTTTTCATCATTTGAAGCACAATGTACAATGTATATGTAAAGGGGTAAATGGTAATTTGATCATAAATGCTAAAAGTTATCATTCATATTTCAGACTGGAACACCAGTTGTGTATTCCAAGTATGCTGGAACAGAGGTTGAGTTCAATGGGACAAACCATCTTTTACTAAAGGAAGATGATATTGTTGGTATACTTGAGACAGATGACGTGAAGGATTTGAAGCCTCTTAATGACAGAGTCCTAATCAAGGTTTACTTTTCTTATTTTATTTATGTACGAAAGGGTAAAATGGTAAATAAAATTTAATCTAAAATGTTCGAAATTCTCAATGGATAGGTCACAGAGGCGGAGCTAACTACGGCTGGTGGCTTGTTGCTCACACAAGCAAGCAAGGAGAAACCCTCCATTGGCACTGTAAGTGTTATTCTTCCAACAATCCCTGAGCTGACCCACCCCTGTATTGTTAGTATCATGTGATATGTAAATTAGGTACACAATAGTTAGTACAAACGTCAATTTTTATCAGTTAGTTTTTCAGCTATCAGCTTTGCTTTTCAGCTAGTCTTTCAAATAAAGCCGTGAAGTCTTGTCGGCATATGAAAAAAAATATCATGTTGGGACGAAATGTGATGTGAGGGGTAATATTGTCTTTTTGTGTTGGGTGTGTAGGTGATTGCGGTGGGGCCGGGTCCATTGGATGAGGAAGGAAAAAGAAAAGAGCTGACAGTGTCTCCAGGGAACACTGTTCTTTACTCAAAATATGCGGGGAATGATTTCAAAGGGAGTGATGGTTCAGAGTACATTGCTCTAAGGGCATCAGATGTCATGGCTGTTCTTTCATAGATTGTGTGTTTGTGGTTAAGTGCTTTAAGGAAAACCGGTAATGAAATAAGACCTTGAAAGAACATTTTTGGCATGTGAGTGAATCCTGTGAGGCTTAAGTTTGTAGCCTTTAACCTTATTTATGCGGAAATTGAATTCAATATAAAATAATTAGTAAGAAATATGAAAAAGGGGACAACTAAAATGGTTGTTTGACAAATCAGCATTTTCTAGTTGGTCAACTCCAACCATGATTAGTATTTAGTAATATCCTAATTCTTCTATTGGGGATGATGTGAATGGAAGACAAGGTTTTGTATTGTGTCTAAGTAGCAACGCTGAGAATTTTTTTTTATTGCTACAGGGGGAGATGAATATTGGTTTTGATTCGATTAATGGAGATGGTATACAACATATTAATATATGTGAGATGACATCTAAATCTGATTTTGATACAGATCTTGACACTGAATTTGGGGGCATCAACTATGGTTTTATGGAATTGTAGGTTAGACTTCAAATTTGTAGAGGTCCAAAAAGAATTGAAATGGTCCAAAATAGTTTCTTTTATCAAAAAACACATAAGGCGTATTTGGTAGCGAGTGTTTGAGAGTTTTTAGTTTTCTGGCGTTTAACAAAAAATTCAATTTAAAGAAAAAGCTTTGTTTGAGAGTATGAATTTTTAGCATTTTAATTTAAACAAGATCCTCCAAATCCAAAAGCTAGCTTATGTAAATGCACATATCGATGATTTTACCCTTAGGGAGTATCATTAATTCATTATACCTGTTGTTGAAATGAATAAATCCTTTATAAAGGAAACAAGGATGGTTACCTGATGCAATTACTAAATTGTAAGATTGCAAAATGATTTAAATGTGAGAGAATGTTCGCAACATCAACTAGTTCTACCAACATAAGTTAACCACAGTCAACATGCACTAAAATTTACCAAACAACCCAGCACAAATAACAAAACAGCCCATGCACTAATCATTACAGAATAGCCCCTATTCTAATTACAAAACAGCCCCTACACTAATAATTACAAACAGCCCCTCACTACAAACTTTTGATTTTTCCTATGTATGGTAAACTCAGGTTTTAAAAATGTTTTTTGCTTTTTTTTTTTCGCTATTAGACTGATCGGTGCACCCCCATACCGCACAATGAGGTGGTGACATGTCATCGTGGTGGTGCGGTGAACACGACACCGACCGAGTGGTCGGAGTGCGGTAAGCGCACCGCGCGAGAACACTTCACCGCACAACTTTTTTTTGCTGGTTGTTTTTCAATCGTTTTCAAACATATATATTTTAAAGTTTTTTTTACTCTACTATAAATAACCATTTTTACTTCTCTTTTTAAAACACAACAAATACCAAACACTTCTATATACTTTTGATTTGTAATTCCAAAAATGTCTTCATCATCATCCACTTCGTCGGCTACGTTGGTGTCACGGGAAACGAGGTTTATCGGGGACGTCATGCGGACAACACTTGCTTATTTTCAACACAATAAAGCCGAAAGTTCTCGCCAAAAAAAATTAGAAATCCTCTTTTATGGAGAAATCGTGAAGTTGTGCACAACCAACTTGCGAATGATTACTTTACCGATGATGCAGTGTACGCAGAAAAATTCAAAAGGCGGTTCTGGAAGAGTAATGTATTATTTTTGTGCATTGTTAATGATATAAAAAAAATCGTTTTCCATATTTTGAGGATTGTTGGAAGAGGTCAGAAAGGTTTTTCCACAATTCAAAAATATACAACTGCAATTCGTCAACTAGCATTCAACATGAGACCAGACTCATGGGTTCCCTGGAATGCTTGGTAGTATTGATTGTATGCATTGGGGGTGGTCAATGTGCCCTAATGCATGTTGTGCGAGCTGATCAAAAGCAACCAACAATAATTTTAGAATCAATGACATCATATGATCTTTGGATATGGCATGCATTTTTTGCTCCATCGAATGCCAATAACGACATCAATGTTCTAGACCAATCGCTGATATTCGATTCCAACTACCTTGGAAAATCGTATGATGTGTTGTTTCAAGCAAATGACACATCATGCAAACATGGGTATTACCTTACTGATGAGATATATCCCGAGTTAGCTACATTTGTATAATCATTCTCATGTCTAAATGATGAAAGCATAAGATTTAAGTCGGCCTAAGAACCTACTAAGGAAGGATATTGAGTGAGCCTTTGGTGTTCTAAACAGGTGTTGGCAAATACTCTTAGTACCGACATGATCATTTGAGCGAAAAAGAATAAGTAACCTGATCTACGCATGCATCATATTGCATAATATGATTATTAAAGTTGAGAGGAAGGCGATTTGCCGCTACAACAAAAATGAAAATTTACCAAATTTCGATGGAGTAGGTATTGGTGCGCCCGTATACATGGCGAACAAAGGGGAAATATACGATCGAGTTGGACACCACAACCTTCGTACTGATTTGGTGGAACACATCTTCATTGCTCAAGTAAATCTCGTTGTCAACGATTTTGAAAACAACTTCAAAGATATAGATGATGAATCAGACATGTTTGTAGATGATTCGGGTGAGGATTATGATAACGTACCGAGCGATCATGATTACGATGATTAGGCGTCACATACTATTCTGCTATGTTTCGATTATGTTTATTTTTATTTATATTTTTAATGTTGTATGTATTTTTTTAATTAATGAAGTACTTTCCTTTTATTAAGTTTATATAATTACATTTTAGTCAACTAAAAAAAGAAAAATAAAAGTGTGGTAAAGTGTGGTTTGACACCTACCAATTTTGTTGGGTGAGGGGAAAAAGATGTAGCAATGACATGACATGCCAGTATGATAAAGTGTGGTATGACACCCACTAGTCTTATGTGTTTATAAATTTCAATATTTGTTAATTTAATTCAAATTTAGGTACACACATGGTCTCGAACAATGATGCTGCAAAAAAAATAGATTGATTGGCTAGAGAAGTATGCTATGATTTTGTGTGAATTCTTAAAAAAAATACACTATGAAACATGGACGTACACAAACAATTAAATGGCAAGATCTTCAACTAGATTTTGAAAAAAAATGTTGATACTAAGCTAAATAAGTACAAAGCTTTAAAGATCGATGGAATGCAAAAAGGGTACAATCTATGGAAGTCCTTAAAAAACGGGGAGACTGGTTTAGCTTGGGATGGACGTACAAAACAACTAAAAATATTCGGATGAACGGTGTGATCGAAAAATTAAGGTAATAAATTTAAATCAAATTTTATTAACATACACTTTAGCGTTATCTTGAACACTAATCATGTAGGCAACCCCAAATATCAAATCCATTCAAAAAAGGCAAACTTCTTTAGAACTACAATATGCATGAGATTAAATATTTGAGGATGCAGTTGCCAATGGTATACACTGTGTGGCACTGTCCATGGATCTGACTACTTTAAATGACATATCTCATGTGAATCTTGATGATGAAAATCCAGGGTCGGGTGATAATGTAGAAACGAGTGTTGATGTGGGAACCTTGTGAAAAAGAGCTTGTTGCACTTCCATCAACGATTTCTTTGAAAAGGGTCACATAAACAAACAAATGAAAGCTTCCGATCTAGATTTACAATGATATTTGAGGCATATCCACGTCCTCTTCTATCCCAATAAATGAATAAATTCAAATCTTTTCCTTATCATTGATTTCTTCCTTGCGATATAAACATCCACTATCTTTCCATACTTCGCACAAAGATGCCACATTCACTTAAAATCCAATGGCATCGGAAAATTTATGACATAAAAGGTTGATGTTAGACTTCCATATCCTTCCCTTATGGTTTGCTTATTGGCTCACTCGATTCTCCTTGAAATCGACCACCCATAAAACCATTATCGATCACATGTAACGCCCGTAGATCCGGGCTAGCCAATTTAAGGACAATGAGCGTCAAAAATGACTTTTTGATGGAAGGTTATTTGGAAGGAGTAATCTTAACTAAGTTGTAATATATGTTACAAGGATTCCGTACATGTAAAGAATGCCGAAATCCGAGTTATAACGAAGAAGTTATGACCTGTCAAAGTTTCGCGACAGAAACGGCACGACACTACGCGACGTAAATAGTGAATTTACGATAGAGCGATATTTGGCCTTAGCGATCTAAACGAAAGTTGTAGAATATGTTAAACCGAGAACGTGCATAAAAAGAACGTCTAAATTTGACTTCGTATTAGGAAGTTATGATTTTTCTAAGTTTCGACTTAGCGGTATGCAACCCAAAGTTCGAATATGAGATCGAGTGATTTCTAGCCGAAAAAATCAAAACGAGAATCGAAGATCTCGTCGATATTAGTGCAACGGTAGAAAGACAGACGAAAACGGACGTCAGATGAAGGAGTTATGATTTATTAACGGAGTTGTCCTGTCCCGGCCTACTAAAAATAATATAATAAAAATAAAGTTAAAATTAGCCGATGGAGTCTAAACGAGAGTTGTAGAGCATTATCTCACCTACGCGTGGATATAAAGAACGTCGAAAACGGAGCTCGTATGCGAAAGATATGAATTTCTGAAGTTCGGGGCATAAACTTCAACCTGTGTCAGAACTCACGACGTGAACTCAGTGATTGACACCTTCAGAGCCTGACAGACTGATGTCGCGACTACGCACCTGATGACGACCAAGTTCACGACGTGAACAAGCATGGTTCACGACGTGAATAGCGAAATTCAGCCCTATAAATAGAAATCGAAGGCAGCCGGTTTTGGTTGCTAACTTCTCACCCTCTCTCCTACTTTTCTCATCATTAAGCCTACTTTTAGCCCCCCGAAGTCCCGATATCATTCCGACACCTGAAGCAAGTCCTGAAACCTCGAAGATCCCGAGAAAAAAGAGTTTTCGAGCCAAAACTCTGCCCGCGTGAAGCCCGGTTTTTGAAGATATCCCGGTTTCATCAAAGAATATTACTATAAGAGTCGTAGTGCTGTCCGATCATCGTTTTATCAAGTGAGTGTATAGTCACTTTCATCTTACACATAGATATGAATTATTTTGTATAAAATACGTGCTATGTGTATACTTATATTGTTTGTTTATTTGAGATGGATGTTGAATGAATATTTTATATTGTATATGGATTTTTATATCTACGAATATGTTGGGTAAAACATGGGTAGATAACGAATGAGGGATGAAAGACGGAATAGATGTACGTTAGTAGCTATGGATTTAATATTGTATAGATGTACGTTGGTAGCTATGGATTTAGTACCGTATAGATGAATATTGATAGCTATGGAATTAGTACCTTGGCAACTATGGACTTAGTGCTTGTTGTATAAATCTTGGGCAGCGATGGACTTCGTGCCTATTCCTTTGGTTACCTTGGCAGCTATGGACTTAGTGCCTGTTGTATGAATCTCGGGCAGCGATGGACTTCGTGTCTATTCCTTAGGATAATCCTTAGGAATGAATGAGTGAATGATGATTGATTATTAGGGTAAATTCTTAAGAATTAAATGAAATAATGGGGATGGGTAATTAGGTTGATTGTTTGAAGATTGAATATAATAATTATATTATTATGGGTTGAAAACCCTATATGCTCACCAGGTTTTCCAACCTGACTCACTCGAGCTTATTTGTATCACAAGTGTCGATATGAAGCTACTTTACACTGAGAGATTTAAAAGGGATGTAGATCACTAGTGTAAATGAATGTAAGTTTTGTTTATGCTTATGTTTCTGTATTGACGATGACATCCCAAATGTTTTAAAATGAATAAAAATACATTTCTTCGGAAATGCTTTGATAATGTATTTATCAT